TGTGCTATATATACTCTTCTAGGTGCTCTACATATATTATGTAATTTTAATGTTCACACTATCACTATAAGGGAGGCATAAAGAAGCTGAAGTATTGGTACATGTTCACACTATCACTATAAGGGAGGCATAAAGAAGCTGAAGTATTGGTACTTGCCAAAGGCCATATAATTATTAAGTGTTAGAAGAGTAGAAGCAGAAAGGCTAGTTAGGAAGCTATTGTAGTAGTTCAGAGAAAATAGTGACTTGGCAGTGGGGAGTAGTCAAAGAGTATGGTATGTCTTTAGTTTTGTCAATCTACTAAAAGGCTATTGCTTATGACCAGTAGGAGAAGCCATCACCAGTGAAGAAAATTTCAAAGTCCTCTAGAACTTTATGTATGTGTACTAAAAAAAGTTTTAATCTAAGCGAGGTATTAAAATTAAGTTCTTAATGAAGGTCATTTCTGATTTATCAAATGGTAGAGTGAATTAGTTGGGATGGTTTATAGAAAGCTCTGGACCCTCTTTAACTGTATACTTTATATTCCTACAAATAAAGTCTCCTTAATGTGCTTCAGTTATGTTATTTCCCTTCTTAGAAACCTCTAGAGATTCCCCCCTTGCTTATTAAATTAAATTCAAACTTGTTCTCTGGCATTCATGGACCTCCAAACCCCAATAAGATTCAGCCTCTACTCTGAACTATGATTACTCCTGTGTTCACACTGGGTACAACAATAAAATGTAATTATTTGGCTTGAAAAAAAAATGAATATCTTGTTAAAGTGAAGAATTTTTAATGAAAAAAATAAAACGAAGATTTTATTAAAAATAAAATGAAGGAATATTTAAGAAATACAAAATAGAAATGATGAAGTCACCAAGGATAACCTAGTTATTTACTAATTAGTACCTTAGAATTATTTATTCTATTATTCAATGACTATTTAATAAACAAATGATTATTTAATAAACAAACTTTTAAATATACAAAAGAGTGGGAAAGTATGTTATTTTCTTACACTAACTACACTTGTTGGAGCCTGGAAGTGTGAAACATGAAGTTATCACCACCCACATATTTTCTCTGGCTTCATAGTCTGTCCCAATAATCTTGATCTCTAATAAAAGAAATTGAATCTTTGAACTGTGCTCTTCTTTCTCTATATTATTTATAAATTTTGGGTAACTACCAAATTATTTGAAATCACAGTGAATATAAATTGGCCTGGAATTTCAGAAGTCCCCTTTATAGTTCTTTTGAATACAAATTACATTTGTAGCCTGTCAGTGCTTTATTTAATAGGGGCTGCATGTTTTGTTTAAAACCCCTTATTTTCCATCTATAATCTTTAATGTATGTCATCTAGTCCTGGTAATTTATCAACATTCATTTTGTAACTTTGGCTTGTAATTCTGAGTATTGATTGTAATTTAACCAATTACCAATGTGTCCATGTCAAGAATAACGAAATGGTAATCATTGTAAAATATCCTCTAGTATAATCTAAAACAAAAATTGTATGCAATATAGGAGATATCTCTTTGCCTGCGATTATTGAGGAATTAACTAATTTCTCCCTTGGCTTCCTCCACTTTTTATATTCTTTATTTTAATTTTCTCCTAATTTTATTTTTTACTTAATCTTTATTGTATTATTTTACATTACCACTTAGTCCCCTTACATCCCCTTCCCCCAGCAATCACCACACTGTTGTCCATGTCCATGAGTCTTTTATTTTTTTTGCTCAATCCCTCCATCCCCTTACCCCCAACCCCACTAGCTGTCAACTTGCTCTTCATCTATGTATATTCTTTTTTTAAAGATTTTATTTATCTATCTTTAGAGGGAAAGGGAAGTAGAGAGGGAAAGAAATATCAATGTATGGTTGCCTCTCATGCGTCCCCTGCTGGGAACTGGCCTGCAACCCAGGCATGTGCCCTGACTGGGAATCGAACCGCGATACTCTGTTTCGCAGGCCCGTGCTCAATCCACTGAGCTACACCAGCCAGGGCTGTATATTCTTTATTACATTATTTTCTTTCTTGAGGGGGACAGAAATGTAGTAAAGAGATGAACAGGTATTAAGCATGTAATGCTATACTATTACTTGCACAGAAAATGGTTCCTGGTACAGCGTAATCACTCAATAAATATTTATTAAATGAATAAATGAATGCCGAGTATTGTGGTGGCACTTTATATTTGTGATCTTATTTATTCTTTCAATAATCATGTGTGAGCTAATTACTACTTTTTCTCATCCATAAAATGGAAGAATAATAGTACTTATTTTACATGATTTTTATAAAAATTGAATGACTTAATATACAGGAGTGGGCAAAAGTAGGCAAGAACTCTGTGCCAAAGTGTGCTTGAGTATAGCAAATAGACTACAAAAATGTGCAAATAATGAAGGCCGGCAATCTGAGCACTTATGAGATTGTACCTAAGTACATTGTGACATTCTTTTGAGTTAATAAAGCTATTGTAATAATCATAACTTGCATGTATTTTTCTGTATGAACAGCTATAAACCTAACTTTTGATCACCCTGTATGTAACGCAATTAGAATAGTTCCTGGTAAGAGTGAGCAAAATGTACATATTGTTGTTGTTGTTAATTATCATTGTTACTTTCCAGTGTTACCTATGAATAAACTGAGAGTTAAAGTCATTTTTCTGAGTATCACAAAGGCAATTAAAAGGTTGGAACAAATTACTAAATTTCATGCTCTTTCTTCTAAATATTTTACCTCCTGTTAAATTGATTAAACAAGGAGACCATTAGACTGAAGTAGCTCTAATGCCATGATGACCTACATAAGCAAACCAAAATCTAAGTCCATTTTAAAGACCTCAAGGCTATGAAATCAAAATGCTAAGGTCAACCAATCATCAACGGCCAACTAGGCTGTAAGCTATATCCAATCCAATAATTTCCTTTCTTTGCTTTCTTACTTTCTCTTCAAGTCTTTCCTCTTGTTTCTGCCATCAGAATGGTTATAACTACTCCTGGTTTAGCAGTGCTCAATTCCAATAAATAAACACTCAACAAACTCTAAACAAATTGTAATATTTCCCAGTTTATCTTTTAAAAACTATGTTTATTGAATTTACAGAGAGAGGAAGGGAAAGAGAAAGATTGATGTGTGAGAGAAACATCATTGGTTGCCTCCCATACACAGCACAGCATGGGGGAGGGGTGGGGAATGGAACCCACCAGGTATGTATGGGTCCTGATAAGCCTGTGGGACACCCAGCCTTTTGGTGTGCAGGGTGAAGCTCCAACCAACTGAGCCACACTGTCCAACGAAGGAAACTTCTATTTATCTTTTAACACCCCTTATGTCCTTGGGGTTCTTATGAAATGTATTATTTTACCCGATTTTCATGTATACCTAGTATATTTCGTAGGTTTCTTGCCTTTTTAGATTATCTTTTAATTCTTTCAAAGGTTATTTTCCTTTTTAAATTTGGTTGTACATGACCTTTTTCACTTGTCAGGCATCCTGATTTCAAGAGCATATTTTTTTCTGGAGTCTAATATACTGTTTTAACTAATTGCAAAAAGTATTAAAAGCTAATTATTAAAATATGCTCTTAATTCATCTAATGAATTTAGTTTCTCTTCTCATCCCTCTTGATTCTGGAATTTCTGAATTGATACTCTATTTGATTTTTGATATAAGAAAGATGAGGTAAGGTATAACATTTCTCTCTGACACCAGTGGGTTTAAATAATTTGATTTTACTTGCTAATTCATTTTAGAGTCTGATTCTTAGGGTTTTTGTTCCTTCTGTGGATCATGCATATAGCAAATGTAATTTCTTGCAACATAATCATTTTAATCAACCTGTATGACCATGAAGCAATTTAGACAAGTTGTAATTCTTTCCTGTCCTTTTTTTTCTGAAGTAGAATCTATGGCAGATAAACTTTTGTGGAGATTTCACGAAGACAATTAGATTGTTGAAAGATTTTTCAAATTTAAATGAGTGTGAAATAGATGTATAGAGCATTAAAATTAATAACTGAATATGCCCAAGCATTCTGATAGTTTTAATGGGTAACTTTACTGGCTATTAGTGAAAAAGATTTCAATAACTGTGATTAGGGATGGTGGGGTGGCAGTGGCCTAAATAATTGCATTCAGGTTCTAAGAAATAACTGCTAAAATCCAAGGTTCTTTAGCTTCATATGCTCAGTGTTAAACCTTCAGAACTCCACCTAAAACCAAAACCTTTATTTCAAAAATAAACTTTAAGTTTGTTTCATGATCAAAGAGTTTTCCATCATGATGAGAAGAAATTCAAGATATTTTGGCGATCTTGGCACAACTTCAAAGAATGATAGAACAGAATGCAGACTTTTCCAAGGTTTGGAAGGCAGCAGTTTGGCTCAGACCCCCCCCCCCCCCCCACACACACACGAAACGAGATGCTTCCTTGAAAACATTTGAAAAGTCTTTTCTTATTTTGGAACTGTAAATTATGGCAAAATTCATATGTACTTAAAACTCAAAGCATTTCTTCTGCACCAATATTCCTCCAGATATGATCCCTAACGTTTCTCTCCGTATTAACACTGGTAAACGAGTTCTGAAGCAGTTACGGCTAAGCGTTTCAATAAGGTGACTGATAGTTCTGAATGCTGTTTCAATATATTCTGAAACGAATCTCTTTCATCCCACCTAATATATTTGCCTTTGTCTAGCAGAACGAAAAAGGTGAAGTGATTTACATATTTGGGGACATATCGCCAAATGACCAATATGCTTACACTTCATAAGATTTTGGTACCCAAAACAACGGAACCGGGATTTAGCATCCTTTCTCTGATCACACATTTCTTAAAGCAAACGTTCTGCAAGTTTCAAAGCCATCTGTTCTCCACCCAACACCTCCTCCAAGCCCGCCGCCAGCTTCCTTCCCACTCTACCTCGCACCCCCCCCTCCGCCCCCAGGCTGCGCATGCGTTCTAAGAATCCCTACACTCAAGGCAGAAGCTGGGAGTATAGTCGGGGGCTATTCTCTCTCCCAGGAACATGGCGGCGAGTCAGGGAGTTGGTGGTAACAGTGGGGGCAGCGGTTGTGGTGGAGGTGGAAGTAGCGGTAGCGGTGGTGGTGGCACGGCGGGAGGAGGTAGTGGAGCTGGAGTGGGAGGCGGCAGTGGGACCCTAGTGCTGCCCATCCCGGTACCGACTCTTTTCGGTCAGCCTGTCTCCAACGGGCCGCAGTGGAACCCCGGGAGCTTGCAGCCTCAACACACTGCGAGGAGCCTGGACCGGGCCCTCGAGGAGGCTGGCAACTCCGGCATCCTTAGCCTCAGTGGTAGGAAACTCCGAGAGTTCCCGGGCAATTGCTACGACCTGACGGACACCACTCAAGCAGGTGACAGGACTCGGTTATGGGGTGGTGAGGGAAAGCTAAGAACGAGGAGGTGGGGAGAGTGGGTGGCTGCGTGGCTGCGTTGTTGGACTGCTGGTATGGGCGGGTGCAACCGGGCCGGCGAACTGACAAAGTCGGAGTCGCTGGTTGTGAATGTGGGGGTCAGAGAAGGGAGTAGGGGAGGGGGGAAGGAATGCTGATTGGAAGATGAATGGAAATCGGGTGGGATGTGAGGGCTGAAAGAACAATATTGTTAAAACGAACTTCCCCTGTAAGGGGTGGGGAGGGAGGTATTGACATCTTCCTTAATGCACTGCTTCCAACTCTCCTGGATGTTCTCATCTTTTCCGGAGGCAGGGGTTGGGGGTGGAAACAATACGTAAAATCGTAATCTATACATATTCCTTAAAGGCATACGTGCTTGCAAGAATGCTGTATCCCCTTTCATAGTTCAGCAGCAGTATTGCCACGGTATTTGTGTTCTTATTTTCTGTTTCAGTCATCTTAGAATATTCTTGCCTTCTTATTCTGTACGCCATAAAGACCGAGATTTTTCATTTTCCTGGTGTTGAGAAGGTAGTGGTGCTTAAATTAGTATTTGCTGCAAATTAAATTATCAATCACTTAAATGTATGGTTACCAGGGGCACGAATCCTTGTTTTGAATTATGTAAGTCTTAATGTTCATAGAAGAAATTGCCAACATTTTTAAGGGTATTTTTGAGAAACATAATCAACTCCTTTATGGAGTTGTGGGTTAATGGGTTATCATTTTGGGTGAGAAATGGGCTATTGTAATGTTCTTCATATACTCGCTGGTACTCTTTGTTGTGGATGGTATTTTTTATTATGAACACATTCTCTTTCCTCTCTTCCTTGTAAACCAATGCTGAATATTTTAGGTGTGTTTTGGTTTAATAAAAGGCATGTTTGACTTTTCATAATTTTTATATTTGTTATTTATATTTGTCTTTTCATTTGCTTTGCTGAAAGAAATCACGGACAAAATTATTTTAATAAATGTACTAATTTTGAAAAATATAGTAAGTAAATTTACCCATAATGAGAAGTAATAAATGGCTTCTTATTTTCATAATAATATGATTTCAGTGTACTCAGATTCTAGCTGTTGAATCAAGATATGTGTTTGGAAAGGGTGGGGAGAGGAAGACAGCCTAAAATTGAAGCCTTCCACCCAATTACTCTTTTAGGAATTATCTTAAGAACTATGAATGTGTGATTGATTACTGATTTTTGTATTTTAGAAAGCATGTTTTGAATATTTACTCCTTCACTCTGAACAGATTTTCTAATGTTCACATATTCATGAATATACTTGGTATGTTCTTCAAAGGCTTCAATAGAAATGGTTTGAGACTGTGTCATTATAGGGACATATTGATTTGTTTATTGTTCTTTATAACCTATAAAGGGTCTGTCTATCTGCAGGACAGAGTTTAAGCATCTTAGCTTGGCATGTAAGGCTTTTACTGTCTGGCTCTAATTTACCATTGTAACTTTACCTCCCCCAAAGCTCCTATACAGAAGTTTCTGTTCTAACTAGGTTAACTCCCTGTCCCTCAAATATATTTTATGAATTTCTGCCTCATCCTTGTAGAAGGTCATCCATGTGCTTGGGATTTACTTCTTTTCTCCACCTTTTAAATTTTGTTCAAGACCCAGCTTTTCCAAGAAACTGTCTCCAACTACCTTAGTCCATAGCAGTCTCCTGTTTCTTTGAACTCCCATGGTACTGATTGTCTTTACCATTTATGTGCTAGTGCTGGCTTTATTTTCTTTTTATGTTTGTGTCTTGGTGTCTCTGAGGATAGATAGAGAGCTCCTAAAAGCCAGGGAGTAAATTATATATTTCATTAGTCTCGTTATATATTGTTTATGTTGTACTTTATAATACTTTTCATAAATATAAATATTATGTGGTTATAGTTGTTGGCTTTTAAGCCTTCAGTTGGTTTTCTGGGGCAGGCATTAACAGAAACCAGAACCATAATTGTTTTTGGTAAAACATTCTTTCAATATAAACTTGATCAGGGTCTACAGTAACACAGGAATTTTTTTAGATAATTCCACTTCATTTTACTTTTACTTTTTCACTTGAATGTATGTTCTTTGTGGGAACATTTTAGAATTTAGATGAGAAATCTGTAACTCATTTGCTATTTGTTTAAACAAAATTCAGCCATGAACATTTAGGGGTAGTATTATTATGTGTAAGGAGATTGACATTATGCATAAATGAAAGTAGGTACACTAGAACTGAAGAAAAATAGAGCATGTTTGAGATTTTTTTAAAAGATTTTATTTGTTTATTTTTAGAGAGATGGGTAGGGAGGGAGAAAGAGAGGGAGAGAAACATTGACTGGTTGCCTCTCCTGTGCTTCCTGACTGGGGACCAACTGGCACAAAACCTACAACCCAGGCTTGTGCCTTGATGGGGAATTGAACCAGCTACCTTTCACTCCTCAGGACTGAGCCACACAGGTCAGGGCTGCATGTGTTGAGATTGTATATACATATGGTATATACATATATACACACAAACATACACATACATACATACACTATATATCATTTGTTTGATGAGCACAGTTGTTTGTTGATATTGCTATATTTAAAGTAACCCTCAGTGGGATGATGTTCCAGATCCAAACTGATCAGATTACCATGTAATGGTTTATTGGATTCGGAAGAGATTGGAGGAACAAACAATAGTTAAGAAAGCTATTATGTTAATCTAGGTGTGAGGTGGTGAGAATTTTGGTTAAAACAGAATTGGATGAGAAGGGGAAATGGATATATTTCAAAAGAAGTGGTGGGGGCTTTATACATTATTTTTCTGTTCCTTACATACATGCAAGATGAAATAGGCCAGTGGTTCTCCACTATGGCTCCATATTAAAATCACAAAAGGAGTGTTTTTTTTAAACTCTCCCTGGGCCCCACTCTAGACCAATTAAATCAGATTCTCAGGGGCCTAGAGACTTATTTAAAAAGTCTTCCCAGGTGCTTCTAATGTGCAGTTAGGCTTGTGGAACTCTGAATAGCTAATTTTTTGAAGGTACTCAGGAAATATTTATTGGTTGAGAACTTATGCACCCCAGTGTTCATAGCAGCACAGTTTATAAAAGCGAAGTACTGGAAGCAACCTAAGTGCCCATCAATAAATACATGGATTAGAAAAATATGGTACATTTACATAATGGAATACTACACAGCAGAGAGAAATAAGGAGCTCCTATCCTTCCTGAATGGATGGACCTGGAAAGCATTATGCTAAGTGAAATAAGCTAGGCAGCGAAAGACAAATGCCATATGATCTCACCTTTAAGTGAAACCTAATTTTAAAAAAAGCAAGCAAAATATAACTCGAGACATTGAAATTAAGAACAAACTGAAAGTAACCAGAGGGGAGGTGGGAGGGGATAATAAAGGGAAAAGGGGAAGGGTTTTCAGGAACAACTATAAAGGACATAAGGACAAAGCCAAGGGGGGTGGAATTAGGGGAGGGAGGTGGGGATAGCTAGGGCCAGGGAGAGTGGAGGGGGAAAAATGCAGACAACTGTACTTGAGCAACAATAAAAAAGTTAAAAAATTAAAAAATGTTTATTGTTTGAGTGAATAAAAACTGACAAAAGTTTACTGACAAACCTAAAGTGACTTGTTAAGAGGGTCAAATCCCAAACTAGGAACTAAGAATTTAAGTTTTAGTTGAATGTTCTTTTTAATAGACTTGCGTCAGGTAGAGACTCTTATTTTCTCATCACATTACATCTATAATGAATAGAAACTTAGCAGGAAGCTATAGTTTCTTCAGTTCCCATATATTACTCTGGTTTACATTTATTTTTTAAATATTTTATTTATTTATTTATTTATTTATTTATTTATTTATTTATTTATTTATTTATTTTAGAGAGAGGGGACAAGAAGGAGAAAGAGTGGGAGAGAAACATCCATGTGTGGGTGCCTCTCATGTGTCCCCCACTAGGGACCTGGCCTGCAACCCAGGCATGTGCCCTGACTGGGAATTGAACCAGCAACCCTTTGATTCACAGGCCCACACTCAATCCACTGAGCTACACCAACCAGGATTGGTTTACATTTAATACTGTTTTTTAAAAAATATATTTTATTGATTATACTATTACAGTTGTCCCATTCCCTTTTCACTCCCCTCTACCCTGCACACTCACTCCCATCCACATTCCCCCTTTAGTTCATGTCCATGTATCATACTTATAAGTTCTTTAGCTTCTACATTTCCCCTACTATCCTTGCCCTCCCCATGTCTATTTTCTACCTACCATCTATGCTACTTATTCTCTGTACCTTTTCCCCTTTCTCCTCCTGCCACTCCCCCGCTGATAACCCTCCATGTGATCTCTATTTCTGTGATTCTGTTCCTGTTCTAGTTGTTTACTTTGTTGTTGTTTTAGGTGTGGTTGTTAATAATTGTGAGTTTGCTGTCATTTTACTGTACCTCTCTTTTACCTTCATTTTCTTAGATAAGTCCCTTTAACATTTCATATAATAAGGGCTGGGTGATGATGAACTCCTTTAACTTGACTTTATCTGAGAAGCACTTTTTCTGCCCTTCTATTCTAAATGAAAGCTTTGCTGGATAGAACAATCTTGGATTGTAGGTCCTTGCCTTTCATGACTTGGAATACTTCTTTCCAGCCCCTTCTTGCCCGCAAGGTCTCTTTTGAGAAATCAGCTGACAGTCTGATGGGAATTCCTTTGTAGGTGACTGTCCCCTTATCTCTTGCTGCTTCTAGAATTCTCTCCTTCATTTTAATCTTGGCTAATGTAATGATGATGTGCCTTGGTGTGTTCCTTCTTGGGTCCAACTTCTTTGGGACTCTCCTAGCTTCTTGGACTTCCTGTAAGTCTATTTCCTTTGCCAGAATGGGGAAGTTCTCCTTTATTATTTGTTCAAATAACTTGTCCACTTGTTGCTCTTCCTCTTCTCCTTCTGGTACA